TATAGTTGTAGCACGATGGGACGGCTCAACCGGGGAAGGACCATACCCTCACAGAATACCAGCGTAATATCGTAGCTGTAGCTGCTGTTTCGTATGGTCGGTGTAGAGAAACGGAGACCCTTTTAACTGGAAACGAGGCATTCCATCTTAGTCCTCACGGGTGACAATGCATCTGCATTTGGATTTGTAATCGAGAATAGATGTAGATGTCTATGGGCCACAGCAACTACTTACAATCAGGTGGACTGTGTGCTCGTTTGTCACCCCATCCTACAAAAAAATGGCATTCTCTGCCAGCCTTGGGTACCAAAGATAATTATTGGCAGGTGCGAAATATAATAGTTAATAGTGTACATATATTAAAAATATATCGGTAAAATGGGGTGAATAGAAACAAGTCTGGTCGTTTGATTGTGAACAGAACATGTGACAGAATGTGTAAGCAACGCACTATCATATCTTCATAAAGTTTTTCTCACGCGTATTAACTGCGTATTTGATGTCATGGTACTTCAGGAAATGGAACTTTTTATTCCTTCCTCTGTGGTGCCCATCGGAGGCAGATCTCAGCCATGGTTTAGTCGCTTCTGTAAAATAGCATCACGCTGTTTCTTCTGCATATAAATGATATGTTGCTAACCGGTAACATTCATTGCTATGCGGTTGACACCACTGGTGATGCTCTGTACACCGGCCGTGCCAATATTTCTCGGGAAAACGTCTCCGAGTACCGGGACAACTTGTGTTTGAAGTTGAGTCTTTGCTGAACAGAGTCTAGGATTGGGGGCGACTAAATCTAGTTCAATTCAATCCCCAGAAGGCACAAGTTTGCGCGTTTACCGATAAAAAGAACCCCTTTGTTGTATCTCCTCAGTTTAAGGCACTCCCATTGTTGCCTCAGCCAGTATCAGAATCCTCGGCGTCTACATATCGAGTGACGTGCAGTTGCGTGGTCACTTGGAAGAGAAGTGCAAATTGGCCTCTAAAAAGCTTGGCGTGCTAAGCAGAGCGGGACAGTGTTTCATGCCCGCACACCGCCTGCAACTTTACAAGGCACAGGTTCAGTCGCAGATGGAATACTGTTCCCATCTCTGGGCTGGGGCTCACCACTGCCAGCTCCTTCCACTTGACAGCATCCAGCGCAGAGCGACTCCAATCGTCGACGACCCGATTCACTGGCGCTGCGAAGAGATGCTGCATTTTCTTTCGCATCTACCACGGGGAGCGCTCTGAGGAATCGTTCGGATTAATCTCAGCCGCTAAATTTCGTGAACGCACTACGCGGCAAGCCTCCCGATACCATTCACACTATCTGGATGCTTGGCGTTCCACCACTGTACGTTTCACTAGGAGTTTTCTTCCGCGTACGACCTCTCTGTGGAATAGTTTACCACCGGCGATTTTTCCGGACCGATAAGACCTAGGGACCTTCAAGAAATGAGCTCACTCCTTTCTAAAAGGCCGGCAACGCACCTGCAACTCCCCTGGTGTTGCAGTTGTTCATAGGTGACGGTAGTCACTCAACATCAGGTGAATCGTATGTACGTTCGCCTTTTCCCATATATAAATAAAATTGATTTTCCTTTGCATACCTCGAATTTACAATAAATTAAGCTAAGCGCACTAATTGAGAACATCAAATACTAATTGTCGAGGCTTATGCTCGCTTTAAAGATTGGACTCTAAAACTGTGACTTATTCAAATTTGGGCAGTTGCGCACATAGAATCGTAGAACGCGGCCACGGTTCTTTCTTCAAAGACCTTTAATTTACTCTTGAAATCGTGGTTTATTTTTATAATGACAATAGTTTGTATTGAATATAATTATATATGATAAAACTTTTTTTATACGCTACTGTAGTGTTTATAGTGTGACACTCAATTAGTGATCAGAATGTATTATTTAGTGGCTGGCAGGCTATCTGAACTTCAACGTGTAACCTGCAACCCTTGCTTGCTTTCACTCAAGGAGGGTCACGTCCGTTTGCGGCTTAAAGATCTCTCGCTAGATCATTATACCAATCCCAAAAGGTGGTGTTTAGTGGGTAAAAGTCTCCACATAACCCAGCCGGCTGCGTGGTATGCTATGAGCATTCACCACCTCCCTCCCCCGATACCGGAGGGTTGCCCATATTTGCTTCGGGCGCAAAAAAACCTGCAACCTTGATATATTATTTTGGGAAAATCGAAAAAAAAAACAATTATTTTAGGCATATATTTTAATTATGGTAACACAATAATGACTGATTAACTTGTGCGTTCATGCCAAACTGCCGGTGCAAAATGATCGATGCTCACACTTTAATAATCACATTAAAATTAACAAGATTTGTACCTATGTTGTAATACGGTAGTTTACTCCACTCCCTTTTTATTTTAGGCAAATATCAGAAAACTATTTTTAAGGTAAGCAAATGCACACAAAGCCCACTTGTGGGTACAGTGTTGCCCGCCCTTCACATTAATGCCTATCCTCACCACCACATCCTTATTAAAATATACAGGGTTATTTTTCAAAGAGCAGCCAAGTTTTAAACTTAAGTTCATGTATAAGTAATGATATACTGTTATTTCTGTTTTCAAAAATACGAGTAAACAAGGCTTCTACTTTTATTTAAAATTATCCAAAATTGAATGTGATTTATGGGCAACAACGTTTTTATCTACCGATCGACCCTTTCGATTTGAGAAATTTTTTTATTATTTTTTTTCCTACATTTGCCTACATTACTTATTTTTAACCTTCTCTGCAAATTTGGCCGATTATTGCAATATAACCCTGTATGTAAACTTCACATCATTTGTGGGCAATAAAAGGCTACAATAAGATTGCCGAGTTGAAATTAAACATATCGAATAAAATCTTTAGTTTCAGGTACAAGGTACAAGATAATGTTTATACATTACGCGACAGAATCGTACATTTCATAATTACAAAATTTGTACCAATATAAGAATTTGAATACCTTCGACATTATTACAATAATGTATAATAATAGCCACGTAATACTAGTTGCACTTTCATTTAAGGCATTATGTCATAATACTATTATTTATTTATTATTATCTGTTATTTAATGATAATAAAAAGAAATAAAGAAATGTAACAAAAACAAAAGGTGAAGCAATCTTAATGTTGTAATGATAAAGTTTATTAATATTATAAATAATATGTTAATGTAAAACCAAAAATTAAGAGTAATACATTCAAAAATTGATTTTATATTTGATATAATATATAAAACCTCACCCAAAAATAGCTTTATAGATATAATCTAAATTTTGGCAACATGCTTTTTATTTGCGTGTTTTATTTAATAATACTTAAGCTTTATTAATATAACATAATGTGTAAAGCAAACATCTAAAATAAAGCGTAGTAAAAATAAATAATTATTTATGGAATGAAATGAACTGTTAACGTTAGTATAAAATTATGATTAATATGTACCATTTGTGTCGAAATTATATATTCCAAAATTATATAAATTAAATAAAAATTCAAACATATTGAATATATTAAGAAAAAAGGGTTACTTCAATGTAAAACGTATCTATCATACGTAAATAGATATATTCCGAAATTATTTAAATTAAATAAAAATTCAAAGGAAAAATATTAAGAAAAAAGGGTTACTTCAATATAGGATTTATCATATGTTGTGTAAGGGACCAATGTCACTGTTCATTTACTAAAATTTCATACACACATTGGAACAACATTACATACTCTACTACTCTACTAGATTACTCCAAAACCCTCTCAGATATGTTATAAATATAATTAAAACAATAACACGGAAAAGTAATTATTGTAGCGGGTCAACAGAAATACTATTTTGCGGTGTCAAAACGAAGCTAAAGAACTATGAGACTAGTCGTAAATGTCTAGTTATTAGCATTTAAATTAAGATTTTATTTTTAAAAACAAAAAAAAACTAATTAAACTTGAGACAGAAAACCGTCAATCTTTAGACAGTACTTAAAAAGCCAAATCCAATTACATATACATTGGGTGCGTTCGGCAGAAAAAAGCGCTAGCAAGCGCTTGTAAGCAAAATGGCGATCGTAATCGGTAAGCGCTGTCAAATCGTAAGTAGCTATTTTCCTCCAGGACACGATGTTAGTTTTAACCGGGGGAATCTAACCTAATTTAAATATATGTTTGTAAAGTATGCATATTAAAAACTTACCAATCATGAGTTTTTAATAGCATGTATATGTTTATTCATGTCATTATATTACTTAAAACTAATATTGCACAAAACAATTTATAAACTCTACTTCAAAACAAACAAATTAAATAAGCAAAATGGCGGATTGTGTCAGCGCTACTGAAGTAGCAATCGTGTCCTGGCCGAAAACTATTTTAGCGCTTATAAGCGCTTGCTAGCGCTTTTTTCTGCCACACGCACCCAATATGTAGTAGATTAGTGATAATGGTCCCTGGTCTCCACTATCCAAATTGTAATCAAATTATTACGACATGTAAAGATGTCTTAAAATATATTTGAACAAAACAATCTTAGTTAAAAGATTAAGTTCATCAATAAACAATTATTAATATATGAATAAAAATTATTCAGATATTAATAACCGTGTTGTTTCTTGACACTGGTCACTTACACTAAATACTTTATAAATTTTCAACTATCAAAAACATCTTTGATAATCACAAATCACAACCCATTTTATAAAATTTACATGATGTTTTCTAATTCTAAATAAGTGCATATACAATTGTATTTTTAATAATAAAAATAAATAATTTTAACGAAATAAAACTAATAATCAACAACAAAAAAACAACAGTAACGAATTCTAAGGCAACAATAAATAAAATAAAAGGTGGCGATATCAGGTACAAACGAAAAACCTTTGGTTGCAATTTTATATATGATATATAAATATAATAAATTTTTGATGCCCACTGTCAACAGATAAAGCAAGCTTTATAAAACTGATATATGTGTTTCTCTCAAAGTTGGAAAGTTATTACTTATGTGGGAATACGGTCTCTGAGGTACGACAGCAAACTTGCGGTGCCTTTTGCGAGTATTGCGTGTCGAGGCTGACGGAAGCAGTTTCCCATTAACTCCAGAGCTCTGGAAATAAAAACATCAATAAATTGTTACATAAAATTACATAATTTTTATTTTCTACTAACCGTACCAGGCCACGCGATGTAAAGTTTTTAAAAAAGCAGATTAAAAAACGCGAGTATTCAAATGCAACGTTTTGTGATAATTTCAAAGCAATCGGTGAAGAAGTTTCTTTTGAACAAACATTTACATTTTTTTTTAAATTAATATAGATTATAGTAAGAAAAACTATCAGCACTATGTCATCTTTGCATCATTTTGCGGTTTGGAGTTGTAGTGGGCGCTACATGTCACGTGACAAATCCCACAAGGAGCAAGAATTTTACGCATCATCATCATCACCGAAATCATCATCAACGCCCGGAAAAGTTGCACAACCTCGTGTTTCGCACGCTTTTGCAAACATAATATCCGACGTCTCGCACGTTTGACGCCGCTGTATACGTCTGGCGTCATTGGAGCTGTCACATTTTTGTAGCATTTTCCAGTCGCCTCTTACTACAGTCTCTTACTATACTCTTACTACCTAAACGATTTACATGTTACATGAGATAATATTAGTACCGCTTAACGTAAAACCGGAATAGTAGCATAAGGCAGTTTACATTTCTTCTAATACATTACGATATGTCGTACAGTTGCTGTTATCAGGAAGATGCTGCTGCCCAGCTCCTGCCTGTTTCCCTCGTCGCCTTTTACGTCACCAACGCGAAGATATGGGGTAGTGGATATTCTAAACCGCCACTACACGGCAAATATAAAAATGAGTGGCGTTTTCAGTGGTTATCTTGAATCTAGAACGGCAACGCAACCAATGTAGCGCTTGTAATGCTAGATTAAGTGCCTTTCGTCTAAAGTGCAATTTAACGTCTACATTTAAATGTAGCACTTCTAATGCTAGATTAAGTGCCTTTCGTCTAAAGTGCAATTTAACGTCTACATTTAAATGTAGCGCTTCTAATGCTAGATTAAGTGCCTTTCGTCTAAAGTGCAATTTAACGTCTACATTTAAATGTAGCGCTTCTAATGCTAGATTAAGTGCCTTTCGTCTAAAGTGCAATTTACCGTCTACATTTAAATGTAGCGCTTCTAATGCTAGATTAAGTGCCTTTCGTCTAAAGTGCAATTTAACGTCTACATTTAAATGCTAGCTGCGATGACACAGCAAAGCTGCTTTACTAACCGAAGCTGCACTAATCACGTGGTTCCAATGCAATGGTGACATTTAAGTGCAGCACTGCAACACTCCATTGGGTCCCACTCTAAGTTTTTTTTTTATACAAGGAAAGAGTTCCCTGAGGACTAAGATGGAATGCCTTTTTTACAACTAGTAAAACACGTAAAATGAGTCTCCTTATAAAAATGTCACAAATATTTACATATTTTTATATATTCACCTTATCCCTTATACACAAGGTTATCAAGGGGTCATATTATTCAAGATGATCTTACCTCAAATGTGTGAAGTTTCCTAACTCAGGTGGCACTGTGATAATACTGTTATTGGTCAGGTCTAACACAGCGAGTTTCTTCAACTTGGCTAACGCATCTGACGAAACGTTGATCTCGGTGATTTGGTTTTCAGCAGCTAACAGTATTTCTAAATTCTCCATTTCGTAGACACAACGAGGTATCTTTGTAAATCTATAAAAGTTAAAATAACTTTGAGAATGTTTGAAACATCAAGTAAAAAAAAATTGAAAATTTACTTTATATGTTTTAATTTTGTCTGGCACGAAGGACCATTTCGTCTTTGTTGCAATTGCAAACGTAAAATAAAAAAAGATAAAGCGTAAATTTATATACATAATATAATTTATTTATTAAAGACAGAGCATTATATGCCACATAGACATAATCAATACTGGTATACCAGAAAATATTTCAATTATTAACAGGTCATCCTCCATTCCAAAGTCACATAGACATGGACCTCTCCTAAAAAAAGAATATTGGCTAGATATTTTACGGCTAGTGTTAACCAAATGTCGCCATATATAAAATCTTCATGGCATTTCCCAAAACTGCCACTCACGACACCTGTGACACCCCTGGGGGCGTTAGGTGATGATGATTTTGCTTAGACCTTGATCCATCACTGGTAATCTTTTGATAAATACTTACTTGTTATTAGATATGACTAATTCTCTCAAGTTCTTCAAATCACCAAATTCCAAAGGTAAATCCACTAAGCAGTTTTTACCTAAATCAAGAAACTGTAAATGTATGCAGTGACTTATTTCGGGTGGAACGCTTTCAATGTTGTTTGATGATAGTATTAACTGGGAAAGCGTGTTTTTTATTTGACATATTCTAAAAAAGAAAGATAAATTTTAAATTAGTTATTATAATAAATATCAGTTATAAGATCATAAATATAGAATAAAATTTTCTTTTACAGCGAGCTTGAGAGCGAATTAAAACATCGTAAAGAAATATATACCAGTAATATTTTTTTCAAAACTGAATCAGAGCAGCTTGGCTGTCTACGCAGCTCCTTTACTCTTTAAAAAAATAAAAGCAGTCTGTTTCTTGGATGGTTAGTGCAGCGTTAATACTGTTTTTTTTTAATTATTCATTTTGGCAACAAACAGTCGTATATAAAAAAAAAACAATCCAAACAATCTATCTATATGAAATTGACTTACAGTGCCACAAGTTAAACAATATTTAAAAGAAAGTTTTTGGTGACCATAGAGCAACACTTACATTTTACTTTTTACTATCAGAAATAGTGAATAAAAACCATTTGCTTTGAAAAAAAATACTATTCACAAAATTACAGTTGTGAATCATAACTTTGTAAGTGCTCAGTGTCCCGCATATTTTTTTAACTGGCGCGGAGTACACGAAGTACAGTTTTAATGTACGAAAATAGTATTTCCAAATTTCTAATATACATCAACATTCGATTCTAGAATTTCAAGATGTATTAAGAATCTCCAATGTCTTTGACAATGTATACAACTTTATTCGGAAAGTAAAAAAATATAGAAAGATGGTTCCTATCATACATATCTAACAAGCATAATATTGACTAATATAATGCTGAATAAACATTGACTGATGATTGACACCTCGTTCTGCAAAGACTTCAGAAACAATAATATAACTGTTATGGTCGACTACCGTAATGGATTACCATTACGGTAGTCGACCATAACAGTTATATTATTGCTCATCATTAGACGAGCGAGTACGTGAAGCGACGATTCTGCATCGACGTCGTATTGTATGCGAACACGTGTAAATACAGCGTGCAGCATCTTCATCGAGTACTACTATAGATTTCTGTTACGAAATTTTTTTAGAAGTCTCTTGGCAAAAATACCCGAAACATCTAATGAGCTTTATAAATGCCGGTATAACAATCTTGTAACACAAGTAGAATACCCAAATCGGCGATGGAAAGCAACCTTACTGGTGCGAGATGCATGGTATTGGGACGCCTATCTTCAGCAAATTCTCCCTCAAGTGAGAGATTTTAACTGGCTTAAGGAGGAGTACTACTGCTGGCAATAGGGATCAAACTACTGGTTTCGCGTTCTATGACCGCTTTTTATAGAATTAGGGTGACAAATGAGAACACAGTCCACCAGATGGTAAGTGAATGCTTTGGCCCATAGACATCTACATTTAACCTCCATTAAGAATCAAAATGCAGATGCGTGGGTGACACCTGAGGATTAAGATGGAACGCCTCGATTCCAGTAAAACGGGTCTCCGGTTCTCTACACTCACCATACGAAACACAACAGGATTAAGCTGATATTTTACGCTGGTACCACTTAAGGCACGTGCCTCTCTTCAGACTTAATGCTCTTCTATCCGCCTGTTCAGTGTAGTGATCCTCCTTAATATGGAATAAACTTTTGCCCAGCAGTGGAGTTTGAACGAGCTGATAAAAAGGTAAGGTAAAAGTAGGTATGTATATCTGTACTTACCCCAAGGGTACAGTTTTAAATTTATTCTTAGATATGTCCACAATGTGTACTTCAGCGTTGGCGGCCGTGACGAACACTTCTTCCGGAACTGATGTCAGCTCCTTTCCTGGCAGCATTAGTGCTTGATTCTTTTTCAACGTAAATCTAAAATTTACGATAAACTTAAACTAGGAAATCATCTGTTTGTTTTCATTTATCCCGTGTTTCATACTGCTTCGTCGCGTAGGATTATATGGGATACGGTTAGGGTCGACACCGTGGATGCCTCTGTTTAGAGACATCGCTTGTGGCACTACTGCCTACATACTACATTCTGAGCAATTCTTAGGTCATCAATACTCGAAATCAAGAGATAATATAGGCACTACCCTCCCTCGAAATCGACGGTCAATAACGTCCTATAGTGATATTTATGTATAAAATCAGGACTGTACAAATCACGGTTGTGGGATAAGTTCCCTATGGACTGTGGATCATTAATTGTGTAATTAATATTAATAAGTACGTAATGATAAGAAAGTAAAATTACTTATAAAAGACGGAAATGTAGAATTTGAATTTGAAAGAGAATATAATACAAAAAAATCTAACTATAGAGTTATATTTGCACAAACAATAGTTCATGACATCTACTCTAATAAAAAAAAATGTATCTCTCAACCTTTTTCATCGATTCATCATTTTTGTTTATTTATTTATTATAAATTTATGACTTATTCAATGTCTAAAAAATAGGACTACTTATTGTTATTCGAGTGATTAAGTGAATTGTTATCGAAATCAAATGATGATGATTATTACATTGCAAATATTCGTGTCACAAATTGTTAAATAGTACACAAAATAATGAAATATTCATATAAAGAAAATTTAAAGAAGCTTTTTATTGATAACAACATTCGGGTATTCGGTCCTGCCCACACGCAAAATACGCGCTTAGACGTCGATTTGCGGAAAACAGCCCGTCGTAAAGTAAACTAAACTAAACATTCGGGTAACCGTATATTATAAATAAGGTGGGTAGACCTTGGAAGGCCATGCTCCTTCGAAGGCCAATTATTAAAATGTGATAGTTATTGGCATGTGATTTGAAATTCCTTCTACTTACACAAACACCCATCGAACTGAAAATCACAGACGCGGCGGCGAATCGCTCGCGCTACTATTTTGGCAGTACGGTCCCTCGCTTCATTGATTTCGGGAATCGACGACGTTAAAATAAGGTGGGTGTACCATGGAAGGCCACTCTAACAAATAACAGTTATTATTCGTTTATTTACTGGATAAATTAAACTAACAAATATTTAAGTAATACTTTGTTTTATTATGTAACATATAAACCACTTATTTTTATTGTAGATTTAATCGCTATTTATTAAACTTTAATGTTAAATGACTGATTTATTATAATGGCCTTCTAAGAATCCTTGCAATGTCATTTGGAAGAGTTCAATGAAACTTAAGTTCAATCAATATTGATTAAATCTGCAATTTAAAAAAATGGTTTATATGTTACATAATAAAACAAAGTATTACTTGAATGTTTGTTAGTTTAATTTATCTACTAAATAAACGAATAATAACAGTTTATTTGTTATAGTGACCTTCCATGGTACACCCACCTTATGTCGAATTTCAATAATCTACGTGAAACCATAGAGCAATAAGGGCCACCGGCGGATCGGAGGAGGGGGAGTAGCCATACGCAGGCCTACCTTTCTGTCAAAGTATAAGTCCACGCGGTCCTATACGCACAATAAAACTAGTTACAGCTGCACTGCTCACTAGACTAAATCTAGTTGCGCGGCTGAACGTCCTACAAAAATGCCGAATCGTTCAGTTCTTTCCTGCAACAAGAGCTCTGCCACGTCAAATTTACAAAAAATGGTGTTACTCTAAGTAATTTTTAATGACATAATTGTTATTTACTTCTTTTTAAACTTATCGGTGCGCCTATAAAACAACGGATTGATCGAGAGTGAGGGAGAGGTTGCATCAATCTAGCGGAGTGTCATATCGATGGCGGCGTGGTAGAATTAAGGGTATATCGAGAAACCACCACTCGTTTGTGCAGTATAAAGTTCAGTTAGTAGCCGCCGTGCGCGAGAGATCCGCTCTAAGTAAATTGACGAGTGCTAAGACTCGTAGAATGACAGTATCGTGGTTCTGTTCGTTATAGTAGCTCTTCTAGTGCTGGCAAGGAAGATGGTGTTGCTGTTCTGTGTTACAATGAGATGGGTAGTGTTGTTTTTGGTTTGCATACTTTGGTGTTATCATGTAATTACGTTCCTTACGTTACACTACTGTATAATTGTGACGGGGACATATTACGGAATGGTCGAACTGTAATTGCTCTATTCTGAATGTATAGTAAAATTAATATGCAGATGCATTGTTACCCCTGAGAATTAAGATGAAATGCCTTGTATCCAGTAAAAACAACTGCAGTTTTCTACACCCACCATTCAACCACAATACACCAATAACACAGCAGCATTAATCTGCTGTTTTGCGCTGGTATTCGGTGCGAACGTGGTCCTTCAGCAGTCGATCCGACATTCGTACCTGCTGCAGCATGGCTCTACTCTTATTTTCTATGTATATTTTTATACGTGGTAGAGCTATGCTGCGGCTATATTATGGTTGTAGCACGAATGGGTCAGCTTGATTGGGGAAGGACTACGCTCTCATAGAATATCAGCGTAAAATAGCAGCTTAATGCTGTTGTGTTTCCTATGGTGAGTGTAGAAAACCAGAGACCTTTTTTACTGGAGGCGAGGCATTCCATCTTAGTCCTCACGGGTGACAACGCATCCACATTTTGATTCTTAATCGAGGATAAATGTGGATGTATAACGGCCGTAGCATCCATTTACCATCAGGTAGACTGTGTGCTCGTTTGTCACCCTTATTCCATTTATTTTAAAAAAACTAATTTTGATGATTTTTAAATTAAATAAGTAATATTTCATTTTTTTTACATTTAATCAAATATTCAAGTTTATGACAGAGGTCTCTTACAAATTTGGAGAAAATTTTGCACAGGTTGAAAAACAGGGAAATTTTAACATAATTGACTAATGACAACATTTTAGTTTATGTTAGGCGAAAGCTTTCACTCCTTTATACATATAATTCCAAACTTTTCAAGCTATTATGTGGAAATTCTTTTAAGTTGTTTGCAGTTTGTTTTAACTCGTTATTAAAAGTTTTTATTTTAAGACAACTTCTGAACAAAATCTTTTCCGAGAATTTGTTAACAATTTGAACAAGATTTGCATATACACCTGTTGCTGGCCGCATGGCTTAGTTAAGAGTCGAGATCATACTCTAACTTGGTACATTTTGGTCCAGCCTTTTCAAAGTATTTCATATCAACAGTAACTCACCAAAGCCTCACTCATGACAGCCATGTGCAAGTGTAAATGTAAATATTTTTCCCATCACTCCCTGAACCTACAATACTCATGAACTATTTCAATAAGCCAAAGCACTTACTTGTCTGGCCATTCGTTGTGAAGAATTTGAGAGTCACTGCCAACTTCTTCTGCAATTCGGTCCCTCAAAAATTTCATCATTCTGTCAGTTCCCCCCCTAATGATATCTTGTCTGACAAATGATAGTTTGTTGCCATCCATGCTTATACTCTGAAGTTGGGAAAGCAAACCCAGATTTTGCGGGAGCCTAAAAATAAATCATTTCTTTTTAAATTAAGGAAACTTATTTTTCCCTTACTATTAATGATGATGTTTTTTTGGGTGAACAATGTTCATGGGCGACGGTGATTACTTACCATCAGGTTAGTCATATGCTCGGTGCCTCCTCTTCCATTGAAAAAATGACAATAAATCTATGACCAGTGTCTGCTGCTTGTTCATAAAGTAAAAGTAAAGTAAAGTTACAGCCTATATACGTCCCACTGCTGGGCACAGGCCTACCCTGATTTCTGAGAGGGTTTTAGGGCAAGGAAGTGTCCGCCACGCTGCCCCAATGCGTGTTGGCGAACTTCACATGTCTTCGAAATATTTTTTTTTCTTATTCCTCAGACATGCAGGTTTCCTCACGATGTTTTCCTTCACCGCTGAGTATGTGGTAAATCAGCACTTAAAATTGCAATTAACAATTTCATTGGTGCCGGCGGGGATCGAACCCGGGTTACTCGCGTTCTGTTATATTTACAGCGAGCGTTAACCATCTGAGCTACTACGGCTCTGCTTGTTCATAAGATACCAAAATGTAAAAACTACTGGTACAACTACTTCAAAATCTCAAAGTTTCTCAGTGAACAATAGAAAGAGCTACACTCAAACTGTTTTTGGTTTATAGGATTGGTAATGATGACGTAACCTCCCATGCTTGCAATTAAAAGCGGCAATGGGCTGATTACATCTATTGCAGAATTGACAACTATTAGAGTAGGCATGTGTTAGAGTGGAGACTGCAATGGACGCCTCCAGGCTAGATGGAGCGACTATCTGTACTCACAGCTGGCAGCAAAGATGCATGAAGCCAAAGATCAGGCTACTTGGCACAGATATGTCAATGGCTCCAGTAGCAGACTGCTGCAGGCTGATAATGAATCTACCATATTAAGCATTCAAACTTATCTGCGTGGGCAAATTTATGAAACAAGACAATAATATATTAAACTGCATCTTACTTGTTCAAATTATTATTAGTAAGGTCAAGTCTCTTCAGTCTCTGAAGAAGTGATATGTTTTCAGGTAACAATTCAAGCTTATTATCTCTTATATTTAATACATTTAAATGTTGCATTTGATCACAGAACTCTTCTGTTATTTCCTGCAAAAACATTATGCAATTGATTATAGAGGAGATATATGAATTATGCACAAAATAACTTATTATATTTTTGTGTCCAAATAATCGTTGTTATTCGGAAGACGCTGCTGCCCATCTGATTTGTTTTCATCTAACGACGCTCACATAACGATACGAGGTAATGGATATTCTTACACTATATAATTTGATATTTACATAATATGTATAATGTAAGTAACATATTAAATGTGCATTATGAAACATAAGTGAAAGAAAACAATGAGGGTAGGGAACCGGACCACGGAACAGGCTTCCCCCGGGAAAAACCCCCTTTTTGAAGTAATCGAGGAAGATGTAGATGTCATGCGACCACAACTACGGGGTCCCGTTTTCACTCCTACCAAAAAAAAAAAGAAGGCTCCAAAAACATCAAAAATTATTAAGTATTTGGAATGATGAAAATTTTATTATTACTTTATTTAATTATATTATTTAAAAAAAACATTAGATTTTTTTAATTCACAATTTAGATTGATAGCTATATTATTATTTTAATTTGAAAATTGGGAGCCACTTTGAAACACCTGATTATAAGCAACAAGAATAGCTTCTTTGAAAATTAAAAATGTAAAATTATAAAAAATAATACCTTAATGAAATTGTTAGCTATATATATTTCTTTTAAAGCTGTACATCCATAAAAGTCTGGTAATTCATCAATGTTGTTATGATTTGCATCTAGAATTTCCATTTTTCTGAGCTCTCCCATTGGAGGTAATTTTTTCAAGCAATTATTGCTCACGTTCATTTTTCTTAATTCTGAAAAAACAAATAGAAATTAATTAAATTAAAAGAAATTTAGTTAAGTTTAACGTTTGTTTGAAAAAAGTTTAGGTATATTTACCTCTCAAGTTTACAATGTCTGGAGGTAACTCAGTCAACTGATTATGGGACAAATTTAAATCCACTAAGCGAACTAAATATCCCATACCTGGAGGCAGCTCTTGTAGTTTGTTATATGACAGATCCTACAAAAAAAATTCTGTGAAATTGTGTGAAATATACGGTCTTATGTAAACTTCAATTTAATTTTTTATTACATGAAACACAACAATATATGTAAAACTAGCAGTAAACTAAATAGTACTGTGTTAGAATACATTGATTTATATCACTTCAAGCATTCTGTCAACCGATATTGGCCTAAAGACATAGCATGTACTCCCATTCGGACATCAAAATTGGCTGATTTCCCAGTTTTCACAATTTGTTATTAAATTAACCATAGTCCCAAGAGTAAACCCCGTTTAATCTTTGGACGTAGATTAAAGACAAGGACATAATCTAATATAAAGCTAACTTCACTGCATAGAAATTTTGATTGTTTTAAACTGTTTTTGTTTTGCTGTGTAAAAGGAGGTGGGTTTTAAAAAGGTGTCTGAAAAAATGTATTGAGAGGTGTAATTTTTAATCTCTCTGTCTGACAAATGATAGTTTGTATCTTTAGTACTTTTATGCAATAAATCAAGTATCTTTTTATTTAACGGTTTAATTTCATAATCCTTACCATTTATTTATAAAAAACCAGCAAAATTACATGTTACAGTTATGAAATGAGATTGATAATATTATGAATGTAGAATTTAATATTTATAAAGTAGAATTAAATTGCCTGATCGATAACTATTTGGATATTTATATGTCATATACAGCTGGCATACAAAATATTTATTATTATATTTAATCCTATACCTTCAAATGAGCAATTCTTGTATATACGATATAATCGGTATCTCGAAAACGGCTCCAATGATTTTCATAAAATTTAGTGTCCAGGGAATTTCGGGGGCAACAAATCAATCTAGCTAGGATTTATTTTTAGAAAATGTCTTTTGGTCCATGTTTTCAGGCAATGAAAAACTGCTATAATATAAGGAGATAAATTTTGACACTTTGTTAATGATCATAATAGCTCAAGTAGATATCGAGCGGTTGCGAAATCGTAATTCCTTGGTACGCGGTCCTGTCTACGGTACGATTTTTTTCCCTTTTTTTTTCAAGTTCCCTTCTTTTGTGAGAAAATCTATTATTTCGAGTCCTTTTTTTTTAGTATTTTTTAAAAATATGTAAATTTTAATTAAAGTAACTGCACTCATGATTTTTTATTCAAATAACCAGTTCAGTTTTTTTCTATTATGTCAATAAGATCAAAAAATATATATAATAAAATATATTCATCAATATGTAATTTGTATCTAAATGTAATTTCAAAAAAACCGAGCAAAGCTCGGTCATAGACCCCCCCCCCCCCCCCCCCCTCCCCCCCCCCCCCCCCCCCCCCCCCCCCCCCCCCCCCCCCTTCCCCTCTCCCCCCCTGCCTCCCCCCCCCCCCCCCACCCCCCCCCCTTTCCCCTCCCCTCCCCCCCCCCCCCCCCCCCCCCCACCACACCCTCCCCCCCCCCTCCCCCACCACCCCCCCTCTCCCCCCCCCCCCCCCCCCAAACTTCCCCCCCTCCCCCCCCTCTTTTTCCCCCCTCTTTCCCCCCCCCCCCCCCCCCCCCCCCCCCCCCTCCGCCGGTACTATATATTAAATACATACCAAAAATGTCAACATCACAAGGTCACCAAAACTGGGGTCAATTTTTGTAATTTCATTACGAGATATACTAAGCCACCTTAGTTCAGTTAACTTATAGAATTCTTTTGGTAATTCAACTATTTTGTTGCGATCCAAACTAAGGTTAGACAGGTTTTTTAATTCACCAAATTCTGCTGGTAAGCTTGTCAGTGCATTGTTATGAAGCTAAAAATAAAAATGTTGAGAGTTGAGATTTAAAAAAAGCAAAACTATTTATTAAAACCTATTAAGGCTAAAATGAAACAACTATGGATATAATTTGATTACTTGGTTACCTTGAGAGTGACCAGTTGCTGTAGAAGTTTGACATCGGGTGAAATTGTTTTTATAACATTGGAACTGAGGTCAAGTATTTTAAGAGGCTCAGCATTCCACCAATTATTATAGCCTGATCTAGTAAAGTCAACTTCTTTTGTCTCTTCCAACACCAACTCGTCAATTTTCCACACATTTTCTGGCACTTGAACACATTGTTAGTTGTTAGCAAAAGATTTTTTCTAGAGCATTTAATGAAAAATTTAACACTTATTTTAATGAAACATAGACATACCTGTACCTAATCCTCTATTGCAAAGACTTAATTGCCCTGTTCTTTTAGCAGACTTAATTAATCCATTTGATAATTCACTCGCATCTGCACTTTTATCTTGAAGATGGAAAACAGATTTATTACAAACATTTATTCTTGACTTAGCTTGTGATCGGCGAGACATATTTATTAAAACAACGTTAATACATAAATATTTAATTCAACTTGTGTAAAGAAAAACTTCATAACGTAAACAACAGTAGTCCTCTCGTCAGAGAGTAATTTATTATACACGTAGTTCAGTTACCGCTTTGTAAACAACTCATTTTACTCCATACTGATCTTGATGGCCACCTCTTATTAATTTGTGATGACCACAGAAGACCATACTAACCAACCAACTCTCCGCTAGAAGTAAAAGTATTCCAAAGTATTCTGTGATAACAACAATAATATGAGACTAAAATTATTCTCCAAGCGAAGTCGACGATATCGATACTCCCTTCCTTATAAGATATGAAGGAATATATGATTAGCTTATCTATGATTAGCGATGGGTCAACTCTAGTCAAATCGAGCTACCAATAACTCGAGTTGGATTTGTAACTCGAGTTTAGGCTGGCTGTACATAAACGAATCAAACGAGCGAACGAGAGTAGGTATGAGTGCGATTCGTTCGTTGTGTGCATAGATAGCCTTTTTTTAGAATATTTTTTTTGCTGATAATATTAACTTATTTATAGACACGTTAACTTACAAGAAGTTATGATTAGTTATTTGAGAATATGTGTGTTGAAAATACTTAGTACGTTAACTTACAAGAAATTATATTTCCTATAAAATAAAAGTAATAACTTAAATTGTCATATAATCCTACTCCATGTGGTATCATGTCAAAAAACGCTGGCTGCATTTTCTCGCTAAATGGCGATACTTAACTTCCGAGGGAGAAAAGAGCTAACCCTCTCATCACCAGCTTGGCAGATTGGCATCTTTGGCAGATTTCCTTTAGAAACTTTACCGCGCGTGGACGCCACGGACCGATAGTCTCTACAGCAAATGACACAAATATGTAGTCATCTTCCAGAGGTACATATTTGCGACGTTTACTTAGACCAGCTGCCTCTGATGCCACCCCTGCTTTAAAAGAGGTATTCCTGAGATGAGAGACTGCCAAAGTGTTTCCGCAAGTAGCCTCACCTCTCTACCGAGGGATTAATATCATACCGTCAGGTCTCTTACATTCTTTTTCGTTTTTGAGTATTATTTTTTTTATTTATTTAGAAAATACTTGATTGAAGCACTTTTTAACCTAGTGATCATATATCTTGATTCTACATATTTTGTTCCTTTTACGTGGTGGAGTCACGCTGCAGATATATTATAGTTGTAGCACGAATGGGTCAGCTCGACCGGGGCGGGACCACGCTCTCACAAAATACCAGAATCGAGGCATTCCATCCTAGTCTTAAGGGGTGACAACGCATTTGCATTTTGATCCTTAGTTGAGGATAAATGCACATCAGCAACAGCATCCACTTACCATCAAATGGACTATATGCTCGTTTGTCACCCAGAGCTATAAAAATGTAGCTAGCTTTGTTTTTAAATATAGGTGCTTACTATAACTAAAAACAAAAATAAATAAGTATGTGATATATAATAAACATACCTTTTTTTATTTCAATCCTACGTACTTAGTTACGTAATGGTAGTTTTCCCAACCCAACATACAGTAAAATAGAAAAACAAATTTATAAAAAAATTATATATAACAATTTATTTACTCCGCTACGTCCTGCTAACTCGAGTGACGCAAATTTCTACTCGAGTTGACTCGAGTTGTTTTTGCCGAGTTGGACTATGTATATCTATGATCCATACAAGCATACAACCACAGACTAACTAGTAGATAATGATTCGAATACAACCAGTCCAATGCAAATGATGCCATATCTAAGGTGATTGTTCCAAAACATTACAGTAACATAGGCGAATTTGTTTGTGCTCCAAAAACATTATATCCCTAATGAATATACTATCAATTATTCTAAATTTTTGTAGTTGAATAAATAGAAACAAATTCTGGCATGCTTCATTCGCAAACACACAATTAAAAACTGTTTTATATGGCGGATACACACAATGTCAATACCACACTATTTGGAACACCCAATATAGAACTTAGTAATAGGCTTGTAAAAATATCGACATTTTCTCACAAAATTATCGATATTTATCGCCGATATTTTTAATCGCTATGTTGATATTCGATTTTTATTTTAGAGTATCGAATTCCTATCAATTTCGATATATTTCAAAATGTTATATTTATTTTATAATTTGATAGACGAAACATGAAGCAACAAAAGCAACTACAAAACCATTTATGTACTATGTTTTTCGTCGTCAAAACGTCCAGTAATAAATTTTAGCCCTCATCCTACTACATAATGCAAAACATGACGATATATCGATATATACACGATAATTATTGATACTGTTTGATATTGTTTAAAAATATCGATACGAAAAATATCAACATATTTATTTCACTTGCCCATCCATAATTCTCAACTTCCAACTTCCGCTCAAGACTACAACTTCTTGGGGCAAACAGAGCAACAAGACAAAGGCGACCCCTGCCACGCTATCCGCGAATTTCTGCAATATCAGGGTGCTTCACTCTAACCTAAACGCCGTCCACTACGAAGCGAGGCCGGCTCTGCTCTTTCTGACCGAAACGCAGGTGTACTCTCCGGCTGATCTCTCGTATCTCTCCTACCCGGGGTACAAACTGGAACACTCCTTTGTGCCTCGGGCTGGAGTTTGCTTTTACGTCAGAGAGGACATCTGATCTCGACGCTTCGGCAGTCTTGAAGGTTCGGCCCTGTTCATCCTTTGGCTACGCGTAGACAGCGACGATCATCCGCGCATCTACGGGTGCTACTATAGGTCCCATAGCAGTAATGCCAAAACACACCGACCCTTCGACCACGTCCAAATGGCTACAGATTCTTTGCAACAGCAGATCCCCTCCACAGAGATCGTGATCCTCGGCGATTTTAACATCCACCACGCCGAGTGGCTTGGCTCACGTTTTACCGATCTTGCGGGGAGATCTGTTCATGATTTTGCTTTGGCATATGGTCTGACACAACTGGTTAATTTACCTTCAGATGTGGAGGATCATGCACCTTCCCTGTTGGACCTTCTGCTGACCTGTCATCCGGACAGATATCCGTCGACGCCCCTTTAGGCTCCTCGGACCATTGTTTTGTCCGGAGTGAGGTGCAACTCACGCTGAAATCGCGGTTACATTCTGCAGGCTGCCGTCGTGTTCGGCACTATAGGTCAGCCGATTGGGATAGGATGCGGTCTTTCTTTGCATTCTACCCTCGGGGGCGGGCTTCCTTCTCGCTGGACCATCCACGATCCCAACGTTGTTGCTGATTCTGTCGCTGATGTGGTACTTCAGGGTATGAAATTTTAATTCCTTCCTCTATGGTCGATCATCTGAGGCAAATCTCAGCCATGGTTTAGTCGCTCCTGTAAAATAGCATCATGCTATAAGCAGTAGTGCTACCAAGTCTGGGCTGACGCATCAACATCCCGGGATGTAAACACCAGCGCTCTAAAAAAGAAGTATAATTCCGCCTCCAGGTTCTTCAAAAGCGTCATTGCCAAGGCAAAGTCAGAGCACATAGGCAGAATTGGCGAGAAACTAGTTCGCCTTCCTTCTGGAACCCGTGCATTCTGGTCTCTCGCCAAGGCTGTCCAGGGGAATTTCTGTCAAACATCTTTTCCATCTCTGCACAGGGAGGACGACTTACTGGCCCATGCCGCAAAGGAGAAAGCCGATCTGCTAGGGTCTTTCTTTGCGTCCAACTCGACTCTTAATGACGTGGGGAGTATGCCGCTGACCATCCCGCGGTGTGAGTGTTCCATGTCGGAGGTGCGGTTCACACAGCGATTGGTTCGCAAAGCACTCCCTCTCCCTGGACATCCACAAGTCGAGTGGGCCTGACGGAATCCCCCCAATTGTGCTGAGGATGTGTTCTCCAGAAATGGCACCGGTTTTAACGCGTCTTTTCCGGTACTCCTACTCCCTAGGCTTAGTCCCAAAATCATGGAAAACGGCTTTCGTCCACCGATCCCTAAAAGAGGCGACCGCTCATACCCATCCAACTACCGGCCTATCACCATCACCTCCTTGTTCTCCAAAACAATGGAGTCCATTGTAAACTGCCAGCTCATGAGGTACCTTGAGGATCACCAGCTGATTAGTGATCGCCAATACGTTTTTCATCGTGGTCGGTCAGCTGGTGATCTTCTGTTCTCTCTGAGTCATAGATGAACGGAGGCAGTAGAGTTCAAGGGGGAGGCATTGGCCGTTAGTTTGGACATTGCGAAGACCTTCTATCGGGTTTGGCACAAAGCGCTTCTTCCAAAGCTACCTTCCTATAGGCTTCCCGAGAAATTGTGCAATTGGATCACCAGCTTTCTTGCAGATCGGAGCATCAAGGTCGTTTTAGACGGTGCAAGCTCCGATTACAAGCCTATTAATGCCGGTGTTCCACAAGGCTGCGTGCTATCACGCGCGCATATCAATGATACGTTGCAAGCCCGTAACATTCATTGCTACGCAGATGACAGCACTAGTGACACTCTGTATACCGGCCGTGCTAATATTTTTCGCGAAAACGTCTCCGAGTACGAGGACAAACTTGTGTCTGAAGTCGAGTCTTTACTGAACAAAGTATCGGATTGGGGGCGACTAAATCTAGTCAAGTTTAACCCTCAGAAGACACAAGTTTGCGCGTTAACCGCTAAAAAGAACCCCTTTGTCGTATTTTCTCAGTTTCAAGGCACTCCCCTTGTTGCCTCAGCCAGTATCGGAATTCTCGGCGTCGACATATCGAGTGACGTGCAGTCACTTGGAAGAGAAGGCCAAATTGGCCTCTGAAAAGCTTGACGTGTATAGCAGAGCGGGACAGTATTTCATGACGGCACACCGCCTGCAACTTTACAAGGTGCAGGTTCGGCCGCACATGGAATACTGTTCCCATCTCTGGGATTCCCAGTGCCAGTTTCTTCCACTTGACCGCATCCAGCGCAATGCGGCTCAAATCGTTGACGACCGAGTGCCTTCCTATCGGCTCGATTCACTGGCGCTGCGAAAAGATATTGCATCTCTCTGCATTTTTGCGCATATACCACGGGGGAGTGCTCTGAGGAATTGTTCGGATTAATTCCAGCAGCAAAATTTCGTGAACGCACTACGCGTTCTACGCGTCATTTCACCATTCACACCATCTGGATGCTT